CATTGGAGTTGTTATCAGATTAATACTCTCAGGGAACACCAACCGGTTGGCCTCTAGTCAATACCCAGAGGCCCGATGGAGTTCCCACCAGATCTGTACTCTAGCGGAAATTGGCTCTCTCGTGTGGCGTACGTTCGTTTTTACCTCTCGTCGTGGAGTTTTTTGGTAGCTTGAATTGAAATGAAATTCTGTTCATATATATGGCCAATATAAAAGCATAACTTGTCTGTGTATGCTATTAGTTACCTCAATATAAAGCAACACTTTTAAAACACTATATTTTACACTATTTATGTGGAAAAAAGACGGTAAACCGAAAGTAGATGATTGCATTTCTCTTTTTTTGTCTTTTCTGTACGTAGAGAGCGTAAAATATGCTGTTTTGCAAGAGTGAACTGTAGATGTATTGTCTGAATAAAAGTTTATTTCTTACATTAAATTAAAAAAGTGGGATTTACCTACCTTTGTATAGAAGTATCGAAGTTGTCCCCGAAGGCCACTTGGCAGTAGTCAGGTCCAACTTAGCTGATCGCTATTTGGTTAGAGATTTAACCGCATATTAGTAAGTATTAATTTCGTATTCGATCAAATTCGGCGCATTTCTGATTTAGGAGTTTAGACTCTCGCGTATTGAGTATAACTAGTTATTGTTACATAGCTTATAGTTAATAGCTGAACGCTCTTAATCAAGTATATTCATATTGAAGAAAATATCCTTAGTTGAAGTGATAATTATTAGTAACATTTTAATCTGTATCAGTTCTCGTGTAGTGTGTCGCTAATGTAAGGTGGACAGTGATCGACGGCTTCAAGTCGGAAATATTTACATGACTTAGTACGCTCTAAATGGCAGCAAGATCACCATCCTAATTTGTTGGATAACTGTCCGTTTAATTCTACCAGTTAATGGGTGATCGTTTGTTCTGTAGCCTTTTCTAAAACCCGCCTGTTCTATGGCATGATCAAAGTCCAATTTATTTTCTAATCATTTCGTAATTATTTTTGTAAATACTTTATAAACATATGGAAAGGTACACTTATAGGCCTATAGTTTCTGAAGTCAGTAGCATCGCCTTTTTTATTAAGTAGAATAACTTTTGCATTATGCCACTAAGTTGTAGTTACTACTTCCTGCAGACAGCTAGGGAATAGTTTGGCAGGGAGCTGCCTTTTTCTTGCCACTTTCAAAGCATCTGTCACTAGTTGATCGATTCCGGGGGACTCATTGCTTTTCATTTGTTGCACTGGCCTTCGAACTTCATTGGGTGTTATGTCCGGTAAAATTTCGGATCCCTGATTTCAGATCTTTGGTAATGATCTACTCTAAAAAAATTGCTGTCCGTTGTATAGTTGGCTATAAAAAATCTTTATAATGTTCATACGATATAATCTTCATTTTACGAGAAACTGGAAAGCACTTACAGAAAATGTCAGAACTACGACATAGAAATTATTATTGGTGATTTTAACGCTAAAGTCGGCCAAAAGACTATTTACCTACCCACAATCGGCGAGCATAGTCTTCATGCTGTCAAAAACCAAAATGGTTTACGCCTGATTGAACTCACAGCATTATTAAGAATGGTGATAGTAAGTACATGTGTTCCTTACAAAAATAACCACAAAGCCACATGGCAATCACCAGACGGTCAAACAAAAAACCAAATTGACCATGTATTAATTGATCGACGACATTTCTTGGACGTATTAGATGTAAGGGCATGTAGAGGTGCTAATATAGACTCTGGCCACTACCCTTTAAGAACAAAACTCAGGGATCGTATATCAAACGCTAAGAAGGGCCAGAGAAAAAAAATCTATGAAATATAATACTGATGTGCTAAAATCTGAAGATACTAGGGATAACTACAGGAAAATTTTAAATGAAGAGCTGAGAAAAATCGACGAAAATTCAAGTATAGAAGAACACTAGACCAAATGCAAGGACGCTATCCATACAGCGGCTCAAGGTTTTTTAAAACCGAACCAGGCTCAAATAAATGAAGATTGGTTTGACGAAGAATGTAGATAAATTATCCAACAGAAAAATGAAGCATACCTATAAGAGACTTCAACACAGAACGAGATCAAACCTGTAAGACTATGAAAATCTTAGACGAGTATAAAAATGGGCGTTTAGAAGGAAAAAGAAAGTGCCATACGAAAACGCTCTAAGCGAGATTGTTAACCACCACAATAGAACAGACTCGCGAAAATTTTACCAGAAGATAAGCAGCTTCAGAAAAGAATTCAAACCCAAAATAACAGCTTGTAAAGATAGAGATGGTTGTAAAGATAATTAGTAACAAAGAACAGATACTAAACAGATGGGCGAATCATTTTAAAAAACTGCTTAACGACAGTCGCGAATAAGACCAAATAGAAATTACTTTGCCTGAAATAGATGAAAACGATCAAGAGCCGCCCCCACCGAAGAAGAAATTAGAGAAGGCATTTCAAAACCAAAAAATAACAAAGCCCTGGTTTAGACAATCTTCCTGCCGAACTCTTTAAAAATGGTGGTGACACCCTTTTTAAACATATGCATAAATTAGTAACCAAAATCTGGCAACGGAAGGAAACGCCCGCAGATTGGAAATTAGATGTTATGCACCCTTTTCACAAAAAGGGAAATATAATAGTGTGTGATAATTATAGAGGCATCACCCTACTTAACGTGGCATATAAAGTATTGTCCAACGTATTGTACAAAAGATTAATCCCCTATGCTGAACAAATAGTTGGGAACTACCAGTGCGGTTTCAGACCCAATAAATCAACAATGAATCAAATCCTCACAGTCAGGCAGGTTCTTGGGAAAACGCTTGAGTTGGGAGTCGACACCCACCACATATTCGTGGATTTCAAAGCCGTATACGACTCAGTCAACAGACAAAAACTTCTATAGGCTATGATGGAATTTCAAATGCCGCTTCATCTTGTTCAACTAACGGAACTTACTTACACTCACAGGCGTAGAGAGTGTAGTCAGAATCCAAAACGAATTTTCAAGATCCTTCCATTGTAAAAATGGGCTGAGAAAAGGAGATGGACTGTCGTGTCTCTTATTTAACCTTGCACTACAAAAAGTAATTTGAAAGTGTCATTACGAATGGCACCATCTTTAATAAATAAGTATGGACACCATCATGTATAAGTGGTCGGATATGCAGATGACAAAGACATTATTGCTAAGTTCACAGAATCTCTGATCGAAGCATTTCGTTTGAGATTGAGCATCTGAGAATGAGATTAAAAATAAACGCACAAAAAACCAAGCATATGTATTGTACTAGATCAGCAACCAGATACTTAGGCTATTAATTGATGATCTAGAACTGGAAAATGTGGACACCTTCGTCTAAATGGGCTTGCCAATAAGTGCGATTATGGCTTGAGGAAACAGATGGCCCCAAAAATATCCAGAAAAATTAAAGTTACCATATATAAAGCAATAATAAGGCCAGTGTTAACATACGGGTCAGAAATGTGGTCACTTACACAGAACGACCAAGAGTTGCTTAAACGTTTCGAGAGAAAAATTCTAAGGAAAATATATGAAGGGGTCCAAGAACAGGGTTTGTGGAGTAGGCGCTACAACTTTGAGTTATACAGAAGTTTTGGGGAACCTGACTTTGTAAAATGTAATAAATTAGCACGCCTTATCTATTATAGAGTCCTTACGATCCTTATGATTTGCCTTTGTACTTTCAAACTTTTGTTTTCTTTTATTACTCCAGTTATTTTCGTTGTATTGTATTGTCTCAAACCTTTTCTAACATCATTTTTAATTTTCTTAGTTAATTTTTGTTGTGAACCTGATTTTATCTGTTCTTCTTTCCCCTAGAAGATGTTTTGTGTTGTGGCCTAATTTTTTGTTTTTGTGTTCAGCACAAGGATTTCCAGTATTTCTTTTCAGCTTCTTTTAATGATAGATCTTCTGAGAACATCTATATGTCACTCTTATTTTTGAGGGTCATTTTTGTTTTTTCGACTTCAATGTTAAAAGTGATTTTTGCTCTAATTAATGTATAGTTATTTCCTGTTGAAAATTTGTTCAATACTGTTACATCCTGAGCTTTTTTCCGATTTGATATTATGAAATCAATCAAATTTTTTTGTTCGGACATGTCCACTTACGTTGGGGTTTATTTCATATTATCATTAAGAAATTCTCCTGACGTAACAAGTCAAGAAGACCAAATCTGTAAGAAGTCAAGAAGATCTCATCAAATCCAAACTTTACCATAGTGGATACCGCATCTTGTTTAAATCACAATTTGTTATTGAAATCTTCTATTATCATTATGTAATGGGTTTTGAAGTTTGTATAGCTTGTAGTTTCATGGGTTACTGTTGTCCTAATCGTGTTATGGATAAACCGTGTCTTTGTTGGTAAAATTGTGAGTTTAATATCTCACTATTTCACCTTGAATGTAGCTTCTTTAGAAGCAAGGTAAGGCTGTTAAATAATATTAGTACTAACTCAACTACTCAATATACTCAGCGGCGAGAATCAGCACTCGGGGATGGTTTGACATACAGTAATTCAAATACTCAAGTATCCTGAAATAAAAGAAAAACCTGGAGCAACCCCTGAATAAGTTGATAACTTTTATGGTGTTATTTATTGGCCGAGGAATACTGCTATTTTAGTTTAAAAAAATGTATTGCTCTTTACAGATATAATTAAAAATTAAAAATATCAATTATAAAAATCTAAAATTAAAAATTTAGCTAAATTTTTTTATTAGCTTGCAAAAAACACAAAAGTACTCGTGAAGATCATACTTATTATATCAATATTTAAACTCAAATATAATATACATAGCGCCATCTACACTTGATAATAGAAACTAACACATACATAATAAAACCATCAATAGGAAACCTTTAATGATTGATTTGATCTAGCTATAGAAGGAGCAAAGTTTTATGCCTGCAACACCGATAATAAATATTCAGATGCAATTATATTATTTTTAATATTTATTTTTCATTTGATAAGAATGCGAGTGATTTGAAACACAACAAGGTGAAGTTTTGATTAATTGGATTTGTGAATGAAATTAGTTAGTTTCTAACGTTGAATTGAAGTATACTGTATCGCATAATAAAAGGTAAGTGGTAATATTTATATACAATGGGATATATTTTGATTGGTTCTTATAAATAGTGCCATCTTCATAAAGCATATAAGACTATTTTGAGTCTTAGTACTTATTCGTTATTTACACGTTTATTCAAAGTTTCGAATCCATATTACAATTAAAAAAATTCAAAATTTTTCAACTACATAGGTATATTTAAATGTATGTAGTTAAAATAAACATACATTTAAATTTAATTTCAACTACATCTAACAAATTGATTGTTTGTTGTAAATATTTTTAATTAGGGTTTTTTCCTTTGGCAAATAAAACTAAGTCATCAGTGTATAATATTCCTTTAACAATCGGTGAGCATTGTTGAAGTATGTCGTTTATGGCTATTAGAAAAAGGGTTGAGCTTATAACTGATCCTTGTGGTACTCCGTTCTCTTAAACTTTTCTATCTGAGTTAAAGTTGTGTAATTGATCTATGCAGCTGCGAGGTTGAAGAAAATTTGAAATAAATTTTAACATATTGCCTCTAATATTCCCATTATGCAATTTTAATATGATATTGAATCTTCAGAGATATCATAAGATTTATTAATATCAAAAAAGACTGCGATATAATCTTGCTTATTTGCAAATGCTTCATGTATTCCTGACCCTAAGTCAATTGGGTTATCTATTGTGATTATCTATTATCTATATATTCAGATTTTTGGATGTTATAATATATTCTATAATTCGTCCTCTCGGGTTAAGTTTTATGGAACCCCACATCGGTTTGTGGCAGTTAAGATCTTCAACGATGATTCCAGGTGAAGGAATTTGTTCCAAAATAGCTATTAAATCTTCTTGTGATATAGTTTGATTTGGTGGGATATACATATTACATATACATATCTTTTAAAGTATATTTATTGCCATAGTTAATAATTCAATATTATTTGAAGTCACTGGTAACTGTGTGCTCATGAAATTTTCGTCCACGTAAATTGCTACTCCTCCACTGGCAATGTATTGGTTTAATCTGTTATTATAGAAACATGAATAATTACGAAAGTTATATACATGGTCTGAATTTTTGAATTTTTTTTTTTTTCTGAGATAATATGTTTTAGTTTTTTAATATGGATATAAAACCCATTTAACTTCCATTGGAGCAGAAAAGTGAATGTAATTATTCTTTAGAGGAATTATTTACCGATGAGTCGGAATCTCCTTCCGACAATAAAGTTTTCATTGCAGGAAGTAAACCTATGTTTTTGACAAGTTTTCATATCAATTTGTTGCTTTTGGTTTTCATTCTTTTGTCGAGGTAGTATGGATGTAATTCCGTTAGAAACTTTATAAGTGCATGAGAGTCTTCTGAGTACAATTTTGTTACGCTGATTATGTCTTTTGATCCTTGTATATTTTTGAATAAATCCACTACTTTATCGAAGCTTAACAATTGCTTTACCCTTTCTATATATTCTCTGTGGTTACATCTTCTAGGGTTCTTTTTCCGGTTGCTTTGTTCGAAATTATCTAGGGTTCGCGAGAATTCATGTGTATTTTTATTTAGATGTGTTGACTTGTTTCGAATTAGGTTGATTTATGTTTTTGGATATTAGAGGATGACTCAGACGATGTAGGTGTTGCGATTGTAGTGTTAACTAAAGAAGTGGTCAAATGTATAGATGTATTTTGTAGTGAGCGTTGTTGGTTTTGGTTTATTGATAAATTTCGGATTGTTACTGTTTGTAATTTAGTTTGAGAAGACGCAGTAAGTGTGAAGAGAGTGGTATTTGAGATTATGGTATTGTGAGTATGTTGTAGATTATTTTGTTGAGTATGGTTTATTGATGAATTTTGTCTCATTTCTGTGTACATTGCACCATCATTGTGAGGATGGTTAGAAAGTGAAATATTTGGACAATTAGCTGCCTTGCGTCCAGTTAATTTGCATTTGAAACATGTTTCGTTTTGTGCTATAAATATGCGGTATGATGTTTGTTCCAACTCGATGATAAAAGATTTAGGTAGTACAAAGTTGTCTGGAAAAGGTGAAACGAAAATTTGTCTTCGGAAGCTTAGAATATGACTAAAAGCAGGGTTGGTTGCTCCTATCCGTAGGTGATATGTTGGAGAAAGGATTTAAACCTAGTTTTAATAATTCGTCTATTATTAAGTTATAAAGGTCCAAATCTTGGACATGCATTGGACAGAATTAAGCGGACTGATGGAATTATTAATATTCTCGCTTCTAGTATATTTTCATTTACTATTATCTTCTTTGTTTCTAGTATGAATTTATCTACTAGGTTTTTAGATGATAGATATATGCATATTCTACCGTTTGATATATATATATATATATATATATATATATATATATATATATATATATATAAGGTTCTTGAACTCCTAAGTGGAGCATAGAGCTTCAGTGAAAACGCGCCATCGGGTTCTATTTTGCGCTAAGGCCTTCACCTCATTCCAAGACTTTCCTTGTTTTCTTATCTCGTCCATGATGGATCTTCTCCAAGTTTGTACTGGGCGACCTTTTTTTCGTTTTCCTTGGGGATTCCACTCTAGGGCAGTCTTTGCAATACTGGAGTTATTTTTTCGGAGTGTGTGACCGATCCAACTCCACTTTCTGGACTTTATTTCATTTACTACCTTCTTTTGTTTGGTCAGGTGTAGTAAATCTTCGTTTCTGATGATGTTAGGCCAGAAAATACGAACAATTCTTCGTAGACATTTATTAACAAAGACCTGCAGTTTGTCTGTAAGGGTTTTTGTCGCTTTCCAGGTTTCACATCCGTAAAGTAGTACAGACATGACATTTGACTGGAATATGCGGATCTTTGTCCTCGTAGTGTAGTCTCCAGACCTCCAAACAGGGTTGAGCATGCTGAAAGCTTGTTGCGCTTTTCGTATCCTCATACGAATATGTCTTCTGTACCTCCGCTTTCTGTTATGACACTTCCAAGATACGTAAAGTTTTTCACATTTTCAATCTGGATGTTATTAATGGTGAATAGCGTGTTGTTCCTTGCATTTATTCTCATGGATTTGGTTTTACCAAAATTGATTTTCAAACCTATTTTATTGGCTTCAGTGGAAAGTGTTTCCAATTGGTCAGCCACATCTTGGAACCTTTGTCCTAACAGGCAGATATCGTCGGCGTATTCTAGATCGCTTAGGCGTGTGGTTAACGCCCATTCCGGGACGTTAACCGTTTGATATAAGGTAAGCGAAAATTATATTTTTTGGTTTTATATGCTGACTCAGCCCTTCAAGATAGTCATTAATTTTACAATTCTCTAATTTGGTATTACTATACTAGGTGGTTGACTAACTGCTTTAGAGGATGATGCATTTGGTGGTAGCTGACTGGAAGATGACATCTTTAAAATGGATGTAAAACCCGACTAAAACCGGTGCTGTTTTACAGCTTTCGCTGTGATACCAGTTCATGGAAATTGGATAATACCTGTAACAAATTGCAGTGATTTACTTAAATATCTAAATCCAGATAGATGAAAAAAGTATATTTTATCTACTCACGATTCCAATATTCAGTATACAAATCACTTTCACTTAGTTTTATACTTAATTACTTTTAAATTTACTTCAATAATTACTATTTAACTAGAACGATAAATGAGTGCTTAAAACACGTCTTTCTCTGTTTCTGGTCAAACAGAATACTCAAAATATTTGTTTTATTTATTATCTCTGCAACGTTTAAAACAATACATCTACTTAAAGTTTAGTTTAAATTTAGTCTATTACATTAAGTTTGGTTTAAAATAATTGGAGTATTCAAATTGCACTATGCGTTGAGTTCAAAAATTTTTATTTGTAGATCAATAATTGAAGACCTATTAACCAAAACAACATAACTGTATTTTTAAAAATAGAATAAACCTAATTTATTTGAAAGAATTAAAAATTTTAATATTATTTTTAGATATTATAGAATAGTGTGCATTTGTTTGAATGTGTACATTAATTTCCATTGCTGGTAGATTTTTAAAAAAATTAACAAAAATCTTACCTTGACACTTACGTACTTTTTGTAAAATTTTCTTAGGTATGTAGTTTTTGTGATAATCTAATAGAGTACCGTTGAACGGGGTAAAACCGACCAAAATTTGAGGTTTTTTTCATGTTTTCATGATTATTTTTGAATTGAGAAAGCTGCAAATTATGAATGTTAAAGTATGTTTGTTTGATATCATCCTAATAGTTTTTTCTCATATATTTTCAAAAGGTGATCGGTTTTACCCGATTACCTTTTTCACCCCCCAACCGATAGGTTGGGGTAAAACCGATCGGGTGTTGAATTGCGTTTATGTTGCTTTTAAGCAAGCTTTGGGGTAAAACCGATCACAAAAAAAAAAATTTTAACTTTTTTTTATGCAATAAATTGTAAAAATCATTGAATTTCAATTGATGATCATTGATCATCAATTTAAAACATTGAAAAAACTTAAAACATAAAAGAAAACACTTATTTCTAAAAAACAAAAGGAAGACGTTGGTTCTTTGCTGGTACATTGGTGATTTGGTACTTTTTAACTTATTCTAACGTAAGGTTGGAAATCCCCCTGAAAGTGAATGTTCCTCTTCTGAGAGGAATTGCTTGTATTTTTTGTATAATCTGTTCTTTCTGAACTATGGCGATATCCTCGATTTCTGGATAAGCAAAGCAAATTTGTTGTTTTGACGAGTTTTTCTTCAAGCATTGAAGTGTGACTTCCTCGTCTGAAATATCTGTAATTTTAGCAGCAAAAAATCGATCTCTTTTGTTCGTAACAAATTTAACGACAACAAATTCTCCAAGGTGAAAATGTGTATCATCGGAAACCTGGGGTGTGTCCTCTGAAATTTCCTCATTTTCCAACTCTGAAAAACTTAGATCGTGTACTTCTAACCCTTGCTCACTTTCAGAACCTTCACTTTCTTATACAAGGTCTTTCTTAGAAATACTTTTTCCTGCTGCCACCTTCATCCTTTTACCTCTCTTTTGATTT